CCTCTTTGGTCCTCCTGCACACCTGCGGCTCATTGGTTCATCACCGGGGAGTATATGAGCTGTTGAGTGCCACTACCTCAACGCCAGAGTGTTTGCCAGTTTTGGGTACTCTAGCCAAGCCGTGATTAGCTGAGTCTAACCTGTGCTTCATTTCGCTGAGACTAATTGCGTTTTTGTCTTTGCCTTTTGGCAGGAAGCCTTCCCACTGACTGGAAGTTTTTGCCTTCTCCCCCAGGAAGGATATCTTGTGTTCACACTGAGCTGGGGAAAAGTTCAGTCAGAAAACTAAGTGGCAGTCCGCACTCATACTCCTCAGAGTCCAACTCTACCTACCTGTCCGCCCTCCAACGAGTTGCTCTCCCTCTGGAAAACTCACACATTCTGGATTCAAGGCTTCGACTGAGATCTCCTCCTACGTGAGTCCCTTTTTCCTCCATGCTCAAGAACTCTTCAGTTTCCTATGTCCATTGAACTAACCGCTGTGAACTTCCCTTCCACTTCTAGTTCTGGTTTAACAGCTCTCTCTGAGTTCAAGATTCCACCAGTGGCGTTGAGGCGTTGGATGTAGGAGTTTGACATGAAATCGAAGGGTTGACGGTTCAAACCCCACCAAAATTGATGACTTTCAAAGCCTCTCCACAGTGATACCACTTGACCGCTTCAGGAAGTGGTTCAGACTGCACGAGAACTTGACAAGCATTTAAACAGTGGCAGTATTCAGTCAAGATGCAAGAGTTTGTAGGAGCGTTGCTATCGGTTGGATAGAGCTTGGATATATTCTAAGGTTAGATTGCTTGTAAAAACAACCAGTCTAGCTGATTAAAACTATTTTGGTTAGATTAGACAATGTAATGATCAAAATCTGAGCAAGCCACTGGTTACAGTTGCAACATCAGTGTTAAGTAGTATTGCTTTCCAATATATGGTTAATATTGCTAGTGGTGTCAGCAGTAAGACATTGACTTTCAATCCTAAGGTTGTTGGTTGAGACCCACTTTAAACTTTTGAAATTTGCAATAATACTTAACACGTATTTGGGCTAATGTGTCTAATTTGAATTAGTTTGCCCTGGTTCACATATAGATTGGGTAAGAACACTGCCAAATTAGATGTGATGGTTCAGCCAAAAGATTGGTTGAATATATAACTTCCAACCAGAATAAAACCAAAAACTATGGAAAAACATTTTTTTTTTTATACCAAAGACCTACACCTTTCATTTTGCTCATCTTTGCCCAATTTGCACAAACAGTTTTTCTGTCTGCTTGAACTTATTTCACAAAAATGTGACTGTTCTCTTCTAAGACATTTTGCATACACGCAAAAAAAAAAAAAAAAAACGATTTATCATACACACCAATCATTAGCAATTTCAAAGGAACTTAAGAGGGGGAAAAGACAAGAAAAATAATTCCAAACATCACAAATTATATTACTAACTGTAGTTCTGCACTCCACCAGTAGTTGGTGACATGTTCACATAAAGCTTCACGAACTTTTGGGATTGTTGAAGCAATTTGGCCAAGCGGTTCAATGCCCCATGAGACTTAATCTAACCATCACGGCCAAAAACATCTGCTGACAGAATACCAGTATTTGAAAACGTATGTTGAAAACAAAAAAAAAATTGCTCTCCAGTTGCTAAGTTTTTCTTTTTGTATTATGATTTTGGTGGAAGCAATGGTGGGGTTCATAGTATAGAACATTTAAAAATAATAATTATATTCTGTTGTTCAACCATTTTAGTATGGAGGACCTAAGGAGTCACTGAAAGAGAAAACCAGACATTTCAAATGTTAAATATTTATCATGCAAATCAAAATCATTTTCTAATTGCATATTTTTAAATGAATAATTAAAGGAATTGTAAATTGTATTTCTTAATCCATTATCAAATACTGAAATTTGAAAATGTACTTTTTATGTATAGTGTACATATTCTATTTCTAAATAAAGATTTAATTTTGCTTTTGATTTATATTGTGTTATAGGTGTAAATGTAATCAGCTTTGTCTTCTATTGCAGAAATGCTATGATGACGATGTAGTGCAACCCGGTGCTTCCCTCACTGAAGGACAAAGTCTGCTGTTAGAAGGACAAAGTCTGCTGTTACTCACGTCATATGTATTTGTGCACAATCTGACAGGAGTAGCTTTTAAAGAGACATCTTGCAATGAACATTTCCCTGGCTTGGTGCCAATAACTTTATATCTTTTTCATAAAGGCCAATGTACAGTGAAAGTTACATGGGCCCCAGAGAGATAGCTCCAAAAAGCATACTGTCTTGTACTACTCACACTTGAATAAAAGGGCCAATTCCAGGCAATATTTCAGATATTCAGTGTGGGGCAGGATATTAACAACTCAAGCATAGTGGAGAAGTAGGAGCTGATGACATATCAGTGTTGTGGAATTGTGATTGAATTGCAGTTTTCAACAGTATTAACAATCAGATATGGAAAATTCAGTGTCAAATCATAGAGCTTTTACCAAAAGACCATCAAGGCACGTCTGTATTTCATGTGTTTTTAACAGCTTTTGTGTCAAAGCTCAAAGAACTGGAAGGGGATGAAATAAAATGGAGGGACTTGGAAAACATAGAGCATACATGCAAAGTTCCGTCACTCCTTTGCTCCTCATAATAATACATATTAACATTCCATCATATATTTACAAATAATTTAATGAAAAACAAGCATGAGTAAATTTACTAGTTGCACCGAAATGTAACCTAAAATATCCTAAAATTTCTAAATATTCAAATATACTTTTAAAATAAGCTTTAAGTGAAAGGTTATAAAGTTGATTTTCAGCATACATAAAAAGATATACATTAAACATGTTTGAAATTTTTTTTCCTGCTGTACATTTCAGAGATTACATTTCATTCTTACTTCAAGTATACTTTTATATAATGCATATCTTAAAATTGTACTGCAGTACAATATTGTTAAAAGTTTTAATTCCCAAACTGATATTTGAGACAATAAATTTCCTTCTTAGCATATTTTAAATGATCCAAAGATAATTTAAATATCTTTGGACTCTACTTAAGTATATTAAAGTAATTTCACTAAGGGCCGGATCTATCAAGGGTTTGCGTGTATAAAAACGTGAGCTATTTCACTGCGCACGCTAAAAAATGTACAAACTGATCTATCAACAGCATGCTAAAAGGATTTGGTCTTTAAAACGTGCTAAATAGCACCTCTTATCCATTTAGTACTTTTTCTGCAATGAATATGCAATATGGGGCGTTTACACGCAAAAGTGCGTCTTGTGGGAGGAGAACATGTAAATATATTAATTTAGCACTCGCAAAGTGATTTATTAAACCTGAAAGCAATTTTGCTAACGGTATCTGACTCTATATTTAACACGTTTCAAAAGAAGGTGCAAATGGTCTGTATGCGTAATTGCGCACACATGGCAGCGGTTATTGTCGCAAGAAGGAGACATCGAAATCAAGCAAGGAGACGCAGAGAACGCATTTTTTCACTCCGTGTGAATATTTTTGCAATGAAGGAGGAAACGATCATGAAAACATATCGTTTATCCAGCATTGCCATTTTGGAGCTGTTGGGGGAACTCCGAATGGATTTGGAGCCAGCCACAAGGAGGACCCACGCAATACCAGATAGGCTATCACAAAACTCCTTGTAACATTGCACTTTATTGCATCTGGGTCATTCCAGCGTACGGTTGCAGCGAGAGCTGGGATCTCCCAATCTCGTTTTTTCAGAAGTGCTGTCCGAAGTGCTGTCCGACGGGGTCGGGGTTCTCCCCCTGCGCCTGTGGAGCAACCTGCATGAGCCATGTGGTATGTGCATAAAGGCCAATACAAAACACCTGTTTTTTTTTTGTTTTTTTTTGTTTTTTACTGCAGTGAAGTAGAAATTCAGCCACATACCACCTTGGGGAATAAAGGTTGCCAAAGTTTATATATATATATATATATATATTTATTTACTTTTTTTTTGGAGGGGGTGGGGGTGTCACTGTAAGATTAAAATTTCTTAATGCACTAGTTTGCACAAACTACAAACTACTTTGCCGCAAACCACAAAACGCGCAAAACCATCATTTAAATAGGACGTCTCCAACAGTTTTGCACCTGCCACCAGTTACCAGTCACCAGTCGCTCTTGTTAAATCACCCGCAAACCATGGTTCAGCCCCTCGCGCAAAATTCCAGTTTGCGAGCGCAAATTACTGCACGCAAAATTGGATCTTGATAAATCCGGCCCTAAGTGTGTTCAATACTTGTGTGAAAATTTCATGTCAATAGCACCTCTAGAAATATATTTATTGAGAAAAATGGTGGCATATTAAATACTTACTTCACCCACTTTCTATCTCTCTTAAGTGTATTTATGTCTACCAGGGAAATACCAGCTACTTTTTTGCATTACTGTTTAGTGTTTACCCTTCTAGTTTGTCTATGTTTCCTAAAATAAGACCACAGTTTATTGCAAAAGTCCTGTTGTTTGACCTTTGGAAATGCAGCACAAGACAACCTCTGCAAGACAGTCTAGTTTTAGGAGTTTCAGCTCACATAAAACCTCCTGATAATATATATTGCTCAACAGGAATCATTTGATAATGTGTGCTTCTGTCTAATATATTATTGCAGTGTATATATATATATATATATATATATATATATATATATATATATATATATATGTATGTATGTATGTATGTATACATATTTATTAGAAATTAAAAAAAGCTTTATTCCAGGCTGTGTGTATACGTATACAACACATTAAAATATTCTGTTACTGTTAACCACATTAAGAGTGCTCAAATACCGTAAACTATTTTATTTTCAATATATGTAGATATTGCAACTGTATTTATAACTTTTACAGTAAATAAAATGACAGCACCAGTAGGTACAGTCCATGAGATGTCTACTTTCTCAATGGTTATACACTTACGCTAATATGCTTGAATACCATGACATAATAAAGTATGTTTCTTTGTGGGATTTTAAAATAAGTTTATTTAATTCAGTAGAGGGATAACAATAACTTTGGCATCTGAATCCAGCAACTTGGGATACAACAAAATGGATAAGCTGAATATTAATGGCCTGCTTCTTTTGGTAAAGTTAAACAATAAGTATCTTCTGAAAGTCTACCAAAGCCTCAGAGTGCAACACAACTATACAGTCAGAGAGATGAAGACAGAGACAGACGGAGAGCAAAAGACTGCAGCTTGAAATCAATATTATAAGTAGACATCATTTAGAGAGGAATAAATGAAACTGTGTTTTTAACCTTAGTTTAGAACCATATATTACATTTTGTTTAAATGAAACTGAACATTTTGGACTGAGACTGGTTTGTAACTAACTTGTGAATAAACATCATCTTTAGTTTTCAGCCGTCTTTTTAATGTTCCTCTAAAAGTTTTCTCTTGTAAGAAAAGTAAGCCAGTGTAGTTCAGATCCCCTCCATCTTCAATCTGAAAAATGAAATGTTAATGTTAAAGATAGCTTTAGTGTTACTTTCAGCTGTTTTCAACAAAAATTACACAAAAAGAGGATTTACTTACAATATTATTTGGTTGACTAACATTCTGTTTTGCTGTTGGAAAAAGCCAACAAGATTATCCTCAAAAGGAGCTCATCAGTTTATACTGGCTATTTTTTTTTTCATTACAGAATATCGAGATATGTAAATATTTCTGCACTGCTTGGCTTCAAAATGGGTTATTTGCAAACTTACCTTTAAAGTTTCTGCACAGGCATCTTTGAATTAAGTAACAAACCAGAATAATATTTACAGTCATGGAAATGACGAAGCAGATTGTGATCAATTTCACATTTTCTTTAAACCTTGATAATTGGTCTGAAAAATAAAGAGAGAAAAATGTGCAAGTGTCTTTAAGGAAGAAAACATTTTTTGTATATTTTGAAGCATAATTTTCAGAGATCTAGAAAGATCTAAGACAAACCTGCTTTTATTAACATTCCCTTTCCAAATAGTATTTCTCCACATATTGCCACAGCGCAGTAGACTGTTTGAGTATCAGAGGAGCTGAAGTTCTTTGAAAGGTTGTAACTACATTTCCTCTGAGTGTTCAGTGTAGATGTGTTCTCACAATTGTGCAATCCATTTTCATTACTGTGGATGATATCTGGATAAGACTTTTCTGATCCGGCTCTGAACCAGAACATGTTGAGTTCTCCTGAACACATCTTGTCTTCAGACCCAGAGAGGAGTGAACACTCTAGAGTCTCTGAGTTTGCTGAGCGGGATGCATCAGTGGTTGGGTTCTGAAGAACATTGTATCTCGATGTCCTACTGAAGTCTCCTATGAAATTACGGACAGTTATTAAACTGTTAACAAGCGGTATTCAATCTTCATTACAGCTGAAAACTATATTTTGAAAATCTGATCAAAGTAAAATTTGTATCAAAAATTATTTGTAATTTGCCTTAACAACAGTGTAGCTGCTGCGTAACCCCAGAGAGGTTGAGCTTTTTTTTGGAGAAGATAGGATATCACCATATACTGGAAAAGTTAAACTACATCAGTACCTTTTATTGACAAATAAGTCCCGGTCCAAGTAGATTTTGCCCAGTCCATGTGAGCACAGTGATACATTCCCTCATCTTGTATAACTGTCTTCTGAATGGTTATATTACTAAATTTGTCATCATATGTAGCTTCTATTTTCGATGCAGACACATCTGGTCCATAATTAGGCTTGATGCTTTTCTGTTGCATCACAATTAATTTCAAAGTATCTACTGCACTCTGTTTGTACCAGTGAAGCCATGTGGTGCTCTGAAACTTCTCAGAGAAAGCACAAGACAAAGTCACAGATTCACCAAGTTGAACCGTGACCACTGGGACCAAAGAATCTGTAAAAATTATTGAAAACATTAAAAACAAAAATAATGAATAAAATTTCAAATACAAATTATAATAAAACTATAAACTATAAAACAGATTAAATATGTTACTTACGGCCTTGATGGAGAAGAAAAAGTGTAACCCATAGCAGAAACATGTTGACACTGGCTTCATTGAAACTCTTGATTCTTAAGTAAGAGCACGGTGGTGTGCTGTTCTAGTGAAATGTTTCTGATTGGCTAGAAAGGTATATATAGTCAAAATGCACTTCCTGCCACAGTAGATCTCTTTTTTCTAAAAACCCATTACGATTACACTTAGTTTTGCTAACACTGTTTTCGAAAGCAACCTAACTAGAACATCAAAATAAAGTACAGAAAATTTCCGTGCATCACATGTAAACATTAAGAACATTCAGCTGTCAGTTTGAAGGATGAACCAAATGCAGACACAACAGCTGAAAATGGTTACTTGCAGATTTTAATAACAAAAGGGTAACAGAAGCAAACGTCCAAAAAAACACGAATCCACAAAAATTCAAAACTACAGAAAAACAGGAATACTCACAACAGGAGGGCAAAGAAATTACCACAAACCAGCAAAGTGTGACGGAACAGCAGGGGAATATATGGGAGAGAGAAACAAAGACCAGGCTAATTAGCAGATTCGGAGGAGGTGTAAACAGAGGCAAAAAGAGAGCGATGAAAAAGGAGACTGACACAAGAGGGCAAACAAGAAATAACACCAAAATGTAAATAAGACCAATGGAAACTCAGATATAAAACTTGAACAAAACCAAAACCATGACATGAAGAAGGTCATGGGGGCAGAATTCACAGCAGAGACTCCCAGACTTTCCTCTCCCCAGACGAATCCTCCAGCTGTGGGGGAAGCCTGAGGCACTCCCAGGCCAGTTGAGAGACAGGCTCCCTCCAGCATCCCCTCTGCCATCTCCAGATAAAGCTTATTTCTGTCTCTTGCATCCAGGATTTTGATCTTTCAGCCATGATCCAGATTTCATGACCATAGATGAGGGTAGGAATCTAAACTGCTCAGCTCTGTTTTCATCCAACAGACCAGTACAGCATCGGCATTACAGCAGGAGCCCCACTATTTGGTCTGTCGATCTCCCACTCCATTTTGCCCTTAATCGTGACCAGGATCTTGAGATACTTGAATTCCTCCACTTCAGACAGGAACTCTCCTCCAACCTGAACAGGGGAAGCCACCTTTTTTCAGGTTGAAAAACATGACCTCGGTCTTGGAGAAGCTGATTGTCGTTCTGCCCACTGACATTAAACTGCAAAGAAGTGCATGCTGTAGGTCTTGACAAGAGGGACTCAGATTGCAAAAAGCAGGGACTAGATCTGCTGGTCTTCGAGCCAGACTTGCTACAGCCCTAGGGGTGCCTAGATATTCTATCCATATAGGTCAAGTATAGTACTGCCCTGCTGCAGTACAACCTATGTCCATACGTTTACAATGTACATTGTATATAGTTCACATTTAATATTTTTCTATTCTTTCTTTGCACCGGTATTGGTTACTTTTAATCTCATTGTACTGCATATCATGACAATAAAAGCCTTTTGATTCTGTGTCTATAGGTTACATTGACATCAGACAAAGACATACTGGCACAATGCTCTATAACTCCCCAGCAGGTGACCACCAGATAGGTGTTAGGTGTGAATGATCAGGAGCCAGCTGTCACACCCACCAGCAAAAGTCCTAAGTCTCTCTCAGACTGCAGTTGGATCATCGCCTCGCAACCTTTCCAGCCAATAGAACGACAGCCTTGGAAAGGGTGCGCTTGTTTAACCCTACTGAGTGTGCCTGTGCTACTACACCACTTATAAGAGCGTCAGCTGAAAATGCTATTTACAGTAGTTTTGTGGCTGATTGTTGTTTCAAAATAGAAAACCTGGTTTCATTTCTTAGTTATGCCCTGGATTTTGTAGTGTTTGTGGACGCTAGTGGATATAGTCAGGTAAGCAGGTGAATCTGATGGAGGCTGATTGGAAACAGGGTGGAGCTGACAGGTTTGTTGAATACTAAATCAGTCCAACACTTGTGCCCAGAATCATGACGATACCTACAAGCATGGCAAAAGTCTTTAGGTGTAGGCATCTCCTTATTTGCTTTGACTTTTCCTGGATCTGCCTCAGTATCATTTGCAGTTACAACTCGGCATATAAACATTTCAATTCAATTCAATTCAGTTTATTTATATAGCGCCAAATTCACAACACATGTCATCTCAAGGCACTTCACAGTTCAACCAGATCATACAGTCAAATTGATACAAAGTTTTTATCTAAGGAAAACCAGTTGATTGCATCGACTCATTGACTCAAATACAATCCCTCACACTAAGCATGCTTGTAGCGACAGTGGAGAGGAAAAACTCCCTTTTAACAGGAAGAAACCTCCAGCAGAACCAGGCTCAGTGTAGGGTTCAAGGAGACAGAAGCAGAGACACAAAAAGCAGCTGTAAAAGGCGGCCCTGTCTAGGAAACTCACAGCCAGGCAGACGAGCTCCGAGCCAGCTCCCATGCCAGAGGACGAAGAGAGCACATCCACTCAGTTACGGACAGAGAAAAAGGACCACACTGGAAAACAGGCCGATCTCCAACATCTATAAACAAGGGTGTTGATGGAAGCAGCACAGCTGATGTTTCTTTCCAGGATGACGTCACAGCCAAACAGGAACAGACGAGGCAAAGCTACTCTGAGGAAAAGCAGAGAGAGCAGAAGGTTAGAGATTGAACTAACAGATTCTGCAGAATAGGAGAACAGAGAGAGAATGAAGCAGAATGATGAAATGGGGGTCCCTATGTCCTCCAAAAGTCTAAGCCTATAGCAGCATAACTATAGAGATAGCTCAGGATAACCTGAGCCACCCTAACTATAAGCTTTATCAAAAAGGAAAGTTTTAAGCCTAGCCTTAAAAGTAGACAGGGTGTCTGCCTCACGGACTAAAACTGGTAGTTGGTTCCACAGGAGAGGAGCCTGATAACTAAAAGATCTGCCTCCCATTCTACTTTTAGAAATTCTAGGAACCACTAGTAAACCTGCAGATTGAGAGCGAAGTGCTCTGTTAGGAACATAAGGAACAATCAGATCTCTGATAAACATCAGCTTATCTACTGCAAACTGACGCTTATTGTTGTTGACAACAATGGCTACAGCCACTGCAACACTCGGTGTAGCTGTTGGTCATGTTGTTCTTGAGTGGAGGCCAAGAATGTTGACAGCGGGGTAAACATTGCATTCAAGCCCAGTCAGATTCTGGGTTGGCCTCTTTTGGAAATGTTCAATTGCTAACAAAATTCCAAATGGGAGGATTTCACAATAGTATCTCCCAAACTGGGTTATAAATCTGGTCAATGGGACTGATTGGTGATATAGTAGCACTTACCAAAAGCCTTCTGTAGCATCAAGCTTTGTAAAGATTGCTGCCACTGCCAGCTTGGCCAAGGTTTCATCAACATCAGGCAACAAGTGTCTTTCTCTGCAGACATAGTTGTTTAGATGAGTTCAATCTGAACAAATTATCACTTTGTTGTTGGGCTTGGGGCTACCACAACTGCCAGCTTTTCATCAAAATCAGGGGAGAGATTTTGGAATAGTTTGGACAGGCAGCCCTTAACAGGGTTTGATAAGGATGGGTGCAGCTATAGGTTGTAGGTTTTCTGAGAATTTAACTGAAAGGAAGTGGCAAAATGTGGAATTTTTATAGCACAGCTAACGTTTCAGGATAACAATAAACGATCTGTAGTTATGTGGAAAATATTTCTCACAATATACATAATTTTCTATTCAGGTAATTTTCAGAGAACTGAAGCAAATAATCCATCTTAATTATATGGTTAACTAGGAACTTCACAACTTTGATTATTAATTATTCTGTACATTTCAAGTGAAATAAACAATGGGTAACTAATAAGCTACTACTGGATTACTAGCACTGATACAGGAACCACTGAAATTGAATTGAATCCCATGTAAACTACACTGTGTATAAATATTTGCTAATAGGCTAATGATTAAAAAGCTTCACTCATTATATTTTTAGTTTTTTTTTTGTTACAATTGAAAAAACAGCTAAATAATTCAGACCTTTTAGAAAACTGTAGATTTTATAAAAACTTACCACAACACAAGACAGCGCTTCTCTGGATGTTTCATTTTGGAAAATGAGATGGAAATTACGTTTTTAAACATATTCAATGGGTAATATAAGGATAAATTAAATGAGATAATAGTGAAATCAGAATATCCCTGTAGTTCCTCCTATCTTAGTCCACAAGGATAATATAAAAATTTAAATAACATGCCTTGTTATTTCATTGCCTGCTCCATCATACTGTCACACATGTAGGTTTTTGGGGAGGGGGTCATTATTGGAGGGCCCCACCTTCTGATGACGTCCCCCACCCCAATTTTATTTTGCATTTTAGACTTCCATATACAACATTTTCACAACACACATCTATGTAGGGCATTGTCTTGGGGGGGTTTTGGGGTCAAGGGCTTATTTCATGGGCCTCACCACGGTCAGCTCCCCCATCCCCTCTCGCATTTAGACATTGAGGGTTCTGGGTTGTCAGCTGGGGGGGTGCGCTGGCACCGCCTGTCTCCCAGAGGGGAGGTGGACACCCCCTTTTGGTACTCCCAGTTTTAATTACACCTGACAGCAACAAGCAACAACACCACATTCGAGGAGGCGCAGGGAGGATCAGGGCTGGCGCCCGGAGTCTGGGGTCTGGAGGAAGAGCGAGCCGCCTGGTCCTTGGTCTTGGTGGGGGGCTGCTGCAGGGCTGGGTGACCCGCCGGTGGCGGGGCAGTCACTTCTGCTCTCCCCAAAGAATGTTGGAAGGAGGGGCGTGTAGTGGATGGGTGAATTAGTTAGGGGGGGGGGGGCTCTGCTTGGGTGGCTTGTGCGGGGCATGTGGGCCCCGATCCCGGGGAGCTTTTGCTGGAGGTGGTCTGTTCCATGTGCGGGGTGGGGGGCCGGGCTTGAAGCATGAACAAGATGGGTTGGTGCGGCGGTGTCACTGCTCTCCTCCCCGCCATCCGGATTTTAGTTTCACTTATTGGGCCATGCTGCCGGGTCTTTGGTCCTGGTATTATTTGATGTGAGTGTTATGTGTGAAAGTGTGTCTGCGTTTTTTTTTTTTTTTTTTCTGTGTGGTGTGAGTGTTTGCACTAGGGTGGGAAGGCATGATTGAGACTGTGAGTTTTTTTGTTTGTTTGTTTTTTTTCTCTCCCAGGTTGGGGTCTGAATTGCTCCCTCTCCCGAGCACATCTCAAATCTCCGCCAAGTGCGGAGCCCATTCCCCCCATCCTGCTCTCCCTCCACTGGCTGGCGCATGGGCTCGCCGGTGCACTGGTGGAGCTCGGGTTTTGGGGGTGGATGCCCCTCCATTCCTGGAGGCTTGTCTGTGGGGCCCGGCCGGCCGGGGACTGTCTGGGGCTCTAGCCGGGGGATGGGGCCTCGGATACCTGGGGCCCCCGCAGCTCCCGGGGGCTCCGGCATTGCGGTGGCTGGGGGACTTCCTCGGGGCTGTCTCTCCTCCTCCCTTGGTGGGGGTCTGATTTCCTGGCCTGGCCGCTCCTTGGTGCCTGCGCTCTTGGGGTCCCTTTGGGCGTCTAGGGCTTTGGGTCTCCCGGAGCTGGACTCAGTGCTGTGGGAGGGTGCCGCTTCGGCTCTCCACAGCCACTATCAAGCATTTTTTCTTTAGATAAACTGTATATGCACAAGTGCCCTTTCACAAACAATTACAGGTGCTTGATTCCAGGTACTCAGTGATTCACTTTCATCCAGAAAGCTCATATTCTTATCTTCAGGTAACACAGAGTACATGTCAGATTAAATAATACTACTTCAGCGATAGTATCTAGGTCGTACCATGTCTGTTGGTTGTGCTGTTCTTTTTACATCTCGTTGCAGGTGATGAAGCAGACTGAAAATATTTTATCATTATCTCCCTTTTATCTCCTCTTTCTTTAATCTTTTCTCCTTTTTTTCTATTTTTTCTCTTCTGTTCTACTTGCATTGCAGCGTCCATATAATCTGTAAAACTCCCTGCATAATTATAATAAAGCATTTTATATGCATGAAAAAGCGGAACACTATGGCAATAGCCCTACTGCTCCACTTGTGAAAGTAAAATCTGTTGGGCTCTTTTTGGCATCAAGGCAATTATTCTTATTTTTTATTATTCTTGCCACATTGCGAGACAGGACACTGTAAAAAAAGATATATATATACAAATAATAATAATAATAATAATAATAATAATTATTATTATTATTATTATTATTATTAATAATAATAATAATAACATGCCTTGTAATAACTTCTTAGAAAACCAGTGCTGTTTTTTATACATGCAGCTGCTGTCAGCACAGTGCCCCTGGGCCAGCCGCTGAGTGGACTGGACCGGGCATTCGGACCGAGCCATCAGCTCCTGGCTGGAGCTGATGGTTTAAATTGATGTTGAATTATTATTTTAGTTTTAGATGCTTTTATCTGAAGAATTTTATGTTTGTACATTATGTGAGCCTTCATTGACACAAAAAATGACCAACAATGTCGATACATTTTTTTATTCACTGAGTTCACCAAAAAAAATGCATAATATAGATTTTGTTTCCACACATTTAATAATCATGACATTTTTCCACTTAATGATAATATGACAACTGAGATCACTTCAGACCAATAAACACATTTGAAGCACAGAAATATGGTGTTAATTTGATATATTGAATTACCGTTTTAAATGTCGTTTTTTTTAAGGTATATTTAATCAGACAAAGGAGCTTCATCAGGATGTATATTCTAAATGACTGAATCTGACATTTGAATACACACTTTCTTTAGTCTTCAACTCTCTCCTGTTCTCCGTCCCTGTAGAGAAATGTAAGGCAGCATAGGTCAGATGCTCTCCTTCTTCTGTCTGAGTGAAAACATAAAAGTTAAACCAACATTTTAATTTCAGTTATTTGTTTTATCCATTTGGGTTCAATATATTTCTTATTAACAGAGACAACTAGTGTAATTACTCACAAACTCATCAGGTTGCCTTGTGTGATTATGTTGTGTTTGTGAAGAAGATCTTTCTAAACACATGGTTCAAAGAGGAATTTTGATTCTAAAATTATTCTACCTTTTACTCTTTTCTTTGTATATTTGTTTGTAGTTTATCAGTACTTACTTCTGTTTTTGAGTGATCTCCTGTGAGTTTGGCAACAAATTAAGCCAATATTCAAAAGCACAGATATGGCCAAGCAGATCATTGTTATTACTAAAGACATGTCACTTAATGAATGAGCTGGGGGAAAAAAAGAAGAAAAGATGCAATTGTTTCTGTTAAAAAGATAATCATTGATAAATATTGGTGAAGAATATGATAGAAAGAAATCATACCAATTTCAACTCTAGTTCCATCTCCAAGTAATATCTCTCCACATGTGGCCACTGCACAGTAGTATGTTCCAAGATCAGAAGGGGAAACCTTCTTAGAGAAGTTATAACTACATCTCTTTTCAGCGTTTGATGGCTTCTCACAATTTTCAGGTGTTTTTCCATCAGTGAAGATAAGATCTGGAACAGACTTGTCTGGTTTGGCTCTTAACCAGAACACACTGGGTTCTCCTGAACAGGTCTTTTCCTCAGGCTGAGAAAGGAGTGAACACTGCAGAGTATCTGACTCTGCTGGACGGGATGGATCTAGAACAGCTGGCTGCTGAACAACACGGTAGCTTGATGTTGTCTCTGTGTTTCATAAACAACAAAAAGTATTCTATAATAATTGCAATATTATTTTTATCATTGTTTTAAATTATTTTTAATTAAGTAGAAGAAAAACATACAAGAGGTTATTACTAATATTCATAACTTAATTTTAAATTGAGATCATTCCTTAAAATAAATAAAATGTTGGGTTCTTGATGAGGAACATTGCCTACTTTTAGGTGAGAAGGTCCTCGTTATTTTATTGTGGCAAAGTATTTTAGAATTATTTAAAAATATTTATTTTCTATGTATTTGTAATAAATTCCAAAACCCAACAACATACTAACATTTCCACATTAGAGAATTCTAACTTATTAATTTATTTTAGTAAGCTCCCAATAAAAACTATGAATTTAGAAGCTCTGAAATTATACGTCTATATATTTAAAGAGATTAAACAAAAATGTTCTGCAGGATAACAAAGTGCTACAGCTGCCCTCTATGCATGACTGTTTAAATACATATACTAATCATTTCAGGTACAGCAGCCAAAACCTAGTGAAGATTTGTATGCTTTTTATTATGTTAAGTGTTATAAGTGTTCATTATTTTCATAATTACCTTCTAATGATAAGTAACTCCCATTCCATATAGATTTATACCGGTTCATATGCACACAGTGATACATTCCTTTATCTTCTTTAGCAGTCCTCAAGATCGTCAGATTAAACATTTTGTTATCATATGATGAGTTGAAATTTAAGGGAGAAAATCCAGCTCCATAAATAGGGTTTGCATTCTTCTGCAGGACTGAAATTAATTTGAGAGCATCTCCTGTAGTCTGCTTGTACCAGTGAAGCCAGTCCAGGCTCTCAAACTCCATGTTCAAATCACATGTTAAAGTCACAGGTTTGCCCAGCTGGGCTGTGACCACTGGAACTAAGGCATCTGTAACTTTAAAACAAAAAGAGAAGAAAAGTTGAACATGAGAAATAAAAAAAGTAAAAAATAAAAAAAACATCAAACTAAATTATATAAAAAGCTAGAATGTGAAAATTAGGTGTTACACAAAACAATAAAAGAAATACAGTTTATGTATTACGTACATCCTTCATGAAGTTAAACAGTGTAGCCCATAAAAGAGTCATATTTAAACTGCCTCAATTGAGACAAATGACATTTGAATCAAAGAGGGATGTTTTGTAAACCACTTTCAAAGGCATCTGATTGGCTTTCTTAGAAATGCAATCTAAGCGAACGTCCTGTTGCCACACAGGGGATAATGTTTAATGCAAAATATTCTTTGTATTTAGGTTTTGGATTTTTATTTAAATATGTTGCTTTTTTATGTTTTTCTGAATTTTGCTTTTGGACAGTTTTTTTTTTTAAACATCAGCTCAATAATATATTCACACATTAAAAGAATCACCTTACTTTTTCAATGTTGCACTTTTTAAGTATGTTACTGGCAAAGGCCCGCCATTCTCTATTATCAGAAGATTAAATAGTTAGTTTAGAGCTTAGTTAACATTGAATACAATAATACTACCCACTATTAGCATAACATATTATCATTGTGGAGGTGAGATTTGCTTAAGAGCTGCTGACATCAGGAAGAAAACATTTTATAGAGATCTGTGAATTGATGCATTTAAGAAAAGGATGGTCCCTTGAAAATTCTAAATACAGGAAATTAATATTCACTAACAGTACCAATCCAATAATAGAAAGTCTGATGTACAGGGTTATATGTAACATATGAAATGGTAAATCGTGTTTTATAGTTAGAGAAAAATACACTTACTTCTTTGATAAAGAAGAACATGTAGCATAACCCAAAACAGAAGCATCTTCACACAACTCCTTACACTCTGTGATACTAAAAAGACAGGAAGAAGTGTGGTAATTTTACACCAATGCCAACGATTCACTGTATTTCCTGCCTCACTCATTTTTTCTAAAAAAGTGTTCAAAGTAAGGCTTTATATTGTGTCATTTTGTCTTAATTCAGAAAACAGAAAATGCTATGATTTTATGAATATAGGGCTAGAGTAACAAAGTGGCAAAGATTTTTTTATAATTGGATTAAACTTGATAAAAAATATAAAATAAAAAAATACAATCTTATGCATTCAAACCCTTAAATGGCTCACGAGATTAAACTGTTGATCTTTTTCTCCACAGATTGTTCTCTTAATATTGGTCAAACTGTATCAACTCAAAAGATGCTGTAATAAAATAGCATATATTTATATATGAATTATTGAGAGATTGAGGAAGCATTTATCAAGATTTGGATAGTTTAGTTTGATTGGATATGCCTTATTTCTGTCAGTTGTATGTATTTTTTTTTAAATCAAATTTCTTAAAATACAGTTTATTTTATTTGAAAAAGAGACACTTTAAAGACTTTGACACCTTTGTAGGATAGCAAAGACAACCAAAAACTAGGTTGCATAGATATTATGGAGTTTCTTTGCTCTGATCTAAGTTAAGGGATATTCAGAAGCACAGAAAAATGACTTTTGACTTTTCTGGTGTCTTATGTAAAGTTCCCTAGTGACACATAAAAGTCCCTGTCCTTAATGAAGGATTTAAAACAATCCAATATGTTACCAGAAAGGCTGACACAGGTTTCCAGATGCTCTATTAAATCAAGTTATTAACAGTATCAAATGCTGCACTGACATCCAATAATACCAGCACTGTGGTTTTTGCAGAAATCTGAATTTACCGTATACAGATGTCATAGAACATCTTAATCAGGGCAGTCTTTGTAATGTGGTTGGCATAAAAACCTTAATGGAAGACATCAAAGGAGCTTTTCCTTGTTAAGAAGGCATCTAACTGTTCAAAGACAAATTTTTCAATAATAAGAAGTCTTTATTTGCCATTGTTCCTCACGGGTACAACTGCATTTTTAGCAGCTCAAAACAATATAAAGCAAAAGAGTGCTGGCAAAAAAAAATAGATAAAAATATATATACAAGAATATCTACAACAATGTACAACAATTGCGGTATTGCACATGAGAATATTGCACTTATATATTGCACTTGTAGAAATTGCACAGAGTGTATTGACTGTTCTTGTGACTGTTGATAATTACAGATGGGTTCAGAGCAACAACAGCTCTCAAAATGAAGCAGTTTTTCTGTTGGTTCCACTGCAAAAAATGGAAATCTAAATAAGTAATTTATTCTTAAAATAAGTGCATTTTATCCTAAATTTAGGAGATAAGTGAGACACTGGCGAAGGAACAAGACAATTTACATTTAAAATAAGAAAAATCAGTCGCACTGTCTTATTTAAAGTCCATATTATCTAATTATCTTATTTTAAGAGTAAAAACACTCATTCCTTTGCAGATCATCATATTTACCTGCTCAAAATAAGGGTAAATACACTTTATTTAAGGAAATCTTAATTTATTTCTGGATAGTTTTTGCAGTGTTGTTTTGGTCATTTAAACCTAAAACACCTCCAAGAAGGGAGCATTTGGTAAAGATGTTCACCGGGGTGTGAGGAGTCAGGTTTAGCAAGAAGGCTTGGCTAACTGCATGGAGCAAGGCTAAAGGCTGGTTAATGCTCAGAAACCAGGTCGTCTGAGTGTGTGTCGCAGTGAACGCAAATATGCCCTCATCCCTTCTGAAGACACTCTGGTGCACCTCTTCAAAATTGTAGGTGACCGCAGACAGTGCCGCAGATAGAAGGCCTCTGGTCAAATCTACATCCGCTCTACACTATATGTTTATTTACTTACCGGCTTGTTTAGTTTTGTGGAATAAAAATGAGCACTGAGAGTTGATATGCAAGTAAGAAAAGGTTTTATTTTACTCTGCAGAGGAGAACTACACGAAACAGCTGTGTACAGCTCCCAGTGTAGCTCTGAGGCTGTAGCATCCCTCCCCTGCATATAAAAAGAATCCACACCATAGACACATCTGAACATTGAATGTTCCCAACACTTTAGTTCATCAAAGGACATAAATATGCTCAGATAAACATTTCTTGTTCACCCCAGAAGGGCATACATTTTAACCATAGCATGAAGGAGGCCTTGTGAACTCATTATTTCTCATGACCTTCCCTTCACCCTTGCCTAGAGTAGGGAGGGGAGGTATCTGTTTTCTGTCCCCCTAAACAGCATAGTGAATGGTACAGGATTTCTTTATCATTACTCCTATTCAAACATACATTTTATCACACAAAATAGGCCAAGAAAAAACTTTGATTCCACAGTTTGTATGACCGCCGTTGTGGAAAATGACTCGTGAAGCAGGACCAGCAAGAAGAGCAAAGGCTGGGACCCTTTTTCCACCTGGATTCCCACTCTTTTTTGCCCTCATGTCCCTCTGTTATCGCACAAAACTTGCCCCCACTTCCTCACCTTGTTACAACCCCCACCCTTAAGACCACTAAAGGGTAAATTCCCTTTAGTGGTCTTAGTGACCGTAACACACCTCCTCTGCCGTATCTAGACCCACTGTCAATTTATGATTGTCCCTCTTGAGTTGTGGCATGGAATAACACAGCTTAGACCATGCTTCTTCTTCTACTTCTTCTTGAAATTTTTATGGCGGTTGGCAAAAACGTTAGGTGGTAAAGAATGTGGACCCCACGGCAACCCCCCCCCCCAAAAAAACTATATCCTGTTATACAATTTAATCTATTTCAAAAATTCAAATATAACCTGATATCCTCTGCTTCCTGATTCCTTTTGCAGTAAACTTAACAATGTCAAGTTTAATTTTCATATTACTGAGTTTCATAATTAACTTCTTTCTCTGAATCAAATATTTCCTACAACTCAAAATAACATATTCCACCATTGTATCTTCCCCCCAGTCATATTCCCCTGTCTGATGTTTCCGTATTAAAAATAATGACCTATTTAATCCTGTGTGTCCTATTCTAAGTTGTGAAATAATTATCTCTTCTCTCCTGTTCCTTTCTGTTCTTCTCATTTGTCCAATTCTCTTTTGGATTTTAAAGAACCACTTTCCTTTCTTTTTCTCTTCCCATAACTTTTGCCACCTCTCTTTTGTTTCTTATTTAATTATACCCTTGATTTCTGTTGTACTAAAACTAACATTAATATCTATCCTTACCTTACTTGTACTCTCCTTAACCATCCTGTCTGCCACTTCATTTCCCTTAATAGAGCCTAGGCGGAAGTTCAACTGAAGAAACAAATTGCGCTCACCTGTGACTCAATCAATCAGCTTTGAACCACAACTCCACTTAAGCCAATCAGCAATCAAGTCCATCTTTAAAGGCCTCCGGTCTGCTGGTCTGCTTCTAAGTGCGCAGGTGGCCTCCTTCATGGCCCTATACTTACTAAGCAACAAAACAGTACATTCTGAAGGTCAAGTAGGAGTCTTAGCAATAATAAGGTCCTTAATGGCTGATTCGTATGCAATTAGATGATATATTTAGAGGTTTTGGCATAAACGGAGAACGTCCGTATAAACATTCTTTCCAGTGTCAGAGCAACCTCTGGCTGTATAAACATTCTGTCCAGTGTCAGAGCACCCTCTGGCTTTAAAAGGCACACGTGAATTCCAGTAAGATTTCGACATAATATTCTGTTGTGCATGTGCATTGAGACTATAAAACAGCCTTAGATTAAATGAGAGTTGGGGGAAAACTGAGATGTCTGGCGATGTAGCGCTGAACATATGAAGTGTTGAAGACAGCAGTAGGAATTCAGAATTTAAATAAATGTTTCCCCCCTCCGGAGGATAAAATTATGTGAATTGTGTTCAAGAATCCTTCTTTCTGTCATAAGAGAATTCTACCAATGAGCTTCCACAATTGGTGCATTTTGGCTAGATTGAAACGAATCAGGACCTCCCGAGTGAAAACAAGGAAAAAACAAAGGAAAAAGGACAGGTGAGTTAAATATATGCTCTCCTATTTATTAATTAGTATAGACAGAAAGCTTGTGCTGGTCACTGAATTAGTTTAAGCAATTCACCTTTTTGTCACCGGATTGTGATGCAGCATAAATTGATATCTTGAGATAAAAAGGAGCTGTCAAGAGCTGGCTTGGGTAATGGAATCATTAAGAGTTACCTGCTGAAGCAAGGTTGCACCATAACATTAGAAACTGGTGTAAACTTCCGGTCACGATTTATAATTGATGTATCATTATGAATGATACAACTAAGATAAATAACTATTTATATGTTAAGAGACTGTTGTAGCCACCTTAAATATCTCTCCGAGTTGCAGTTCGCCTGAGACTGAAGGGCTGTAATGTTGAGAAAAAGGCCTGAGTCCACAGGGACTGTATCGAGATCTCGTCGTTGTTGTTTTTGTTAATGTCTCCGGAGAAAGAAACAACAGAGAGCAGGTTGGCTCTGTGTTGATGTTGCTAGACCAAAAGTTGTTAAAAATAGTGAAAAAGTGCATGCAAATTATTTAAATTGGCTGTTTGGGTCTATGAAGATATGATGATGTGCACATGAAACTAGTTGCGATGGCTTTAACAGTATGAATTTTGTGTGCTTGAAGAGCTCTGGGATGTGTAATTCTGTATGATCGTTGCTGTTTGAAGTGTGTGTGTGTGTGTTTGAAATCTAAGTGTACACTAAGAAAACATCTGTTTAAATTCAAACCTCCTTCCAGATCTGCAATCAGATCTGCTTAGTCACTGTGACCCAATCCGACTGAAAACAGTGTAAAGTAAGATAGTCTCTACAAAATGTAGAGATCTTTAATAACCTTTCCAAAGTGTCACAAAGGACATAAAAGGTCAAAAATAAAAGGAGGTTTTGCAAACTGACTAATGAGGAACTAGAATCTGAACAAAAGATAGATTTCAATGGTCTTACCTCTTCACCCCTTTGAACTACTATAAGCAA